ATATCAGTGCTGTGTGTGCGAGCGTGTTTGGGGTGATCACCAGGTGGGCGGTAGACGATGAGAAAATCTGGAGATAAAGACGCAGCAAGACTTCGTAATTAACAAGATTCTCCGTCTGACGGTGTATGAGTCATCGTCGAGCAGGAAATATACGAGGACGGAAAACAACCGCACCTGCCAACGCACGGTCTGCGGAATTTCTTCCCCGAGGGTAGATGGACTTCTCTCTACTGCGAACGAAGATATGACGTATAATTTAAGGCGGGTAACAACCGAGAGATGAAATTAAGGAAAACCCGGCCGCGCGAGAACGCAATCTGAGCTCCGTTTCGGAGTTTTTTGAGTTGCGTGGCATTTCGCTAACGGAGTTTTTCTTTATTTGGTCATGATTTTGACATTTCTGGCACAGATTTCACGTTTTCTTTTTGTTATTATCAATCGTCTTTTGTACCTCAAGCGAGTGTGTGTCGACACTGAGTCTGAGTGTGTGTCTGAGTGTGTGTGTGTGTGTGTGTGTGTGTGTGTCGTGTATTCTACAATCCGGTTTTCAAAATTGTTCCCTGCTTGCCTGGCTATTGAAGTAGACCTATAGTGCACGCCTTGTTCGTTGCATGGCTGTTTCGAAACAGCAACGCATGCCTGAACGTTCGAACATTTTGAAGTAATAACTTACAAGTGTACGCGCGGATTTACTCTCATCATAAACTCATAATCGTGTACGATCGCCTCGGTTTAATTTCACTGTTCGTCCGACTCTTGAGTAGAGCTACTAACAATAACTCCCGTAACCAGAACTCTCATATAGTTAGTCTTTAAAACCGTATAGTAGTCTTTCGGTTCTGTTCGGTTTTCTTTCTCGCTCGAACGCACGAGTTGTTGACCGTAGATGTGACCTAGCCATCACCTATAATCAACAGCCTGTCTCATGTGGGTAGAATATATTAAGCAAAGAGCGTATAGACGGCTCATTCTACTTACCTATATGTGACCAGGTATTCATATAGCTTCAACAGAGTGGCTGTATCTTCATGTGATATGATGCGTCCTCTTCTTTATACACGTGTATCACAGATATTTGAAGTTAGAGTTAAGATATATGTTCGCGTGAGAACAACAGACCGACGATATCAGGTGACGACGTGACGGTGGTAGTCTCTGTGGGTGAGTCACTCACCTCACTAATATCCTTACAAATAAGGAAACCTGCGTCTATAGAGGTGTATATATCTCAGGGGTCATGCTTCACTGGCGACTTTCATGAACTGTTGGACCGCTTGCTACGCCGTGACGTATGTATCTCTCTCTCTCTCTCTCTCTCGCTCTCTCTCTCTCTCTCTCTCTCTCTCTCTCTCTCTATCTCTCTTACTCCCTCTCTCTCTTTGTGTCT